GGGGGGGGGGGGGGGGGGTGCTTTGCCATGAGGAAGTTCAGCTTAAAGACACGTCCCAGGGGGCATTTCTGTTACCAAAATGCGTTTCTAGTCCCCACCTGTCATTTTGCTCCTCAGCATGACTTCCTAAAAACGCTGCAGGATTTCTCAAACATGCATGAATGAGTCAAAGCAAGGCTTTGGGCATGTTTTTGATGAGACGATAACATTATAACATGATATAAAACTCAAAAAAGTTGATTTTACATGATATTGCCCCTTTAATTAAACAATAAGCTGTTTATTCCCAAACCTACATTCAGGCACTGTAAAGATAAATGTCTTTATTTTCTGAATTAAAGCCAAAAGCGGTGCTTGATGTATTTGAGTTATATACATATTAATGTAAGGTCTGCAGCACACACTCGGCTGACTGTTGGACACTGATCATTCATGGTGTTGAAGTTAGAAGAGTTTGTTGGCAGCGCCACGCAGACAGCAGACAGACGGGGCAGCGGAGTGTGAGAGAGGATTATCAGTGAACAGCCGATTCTATAATTGTTCAGTGAACATTCAGGGGATTTTTGTTGCCACACACCGACACRCAGCAGTTCAGCTGCCAATTTGTGTCACTGTGATCTCCTCAGCATCCATCCATATGTGACTTACAGAGAACCTACAGTGATGCTCTAAAACCTGTGCACACTGTCTTCTTCAATCTGACTGAAAAATGCAGGTTATTATAAAGAAATGTAGAAGATTTTAGTTTTTTTTTTTGTCAATTTAGAAGGAAAATATGGAACCAAGTGACATTTCCCATTCACTGACAGACAACTGTTTTGTAGTCTGTGGCCATTTTCAGTTGGTCTGTAATTCAGACTGTATTATTTGTTAATCTGCCTTTGTCTTTTTTGTTTTCAAACGAAAGATGTGTTTTAGCTTGACATCAAGAACAAACCATTTTGCTTGCCCAAGACTTGGATAGACATAAAGAGGAGGTGAAGATTGAACCACTAATCCTGCAGGATAACTGTAGAGCAGGGGTCTGCAACCTGCGGCTCTGGGGCCACTAGTGGTTGCTTGGTCCCTCTGMAGGGGCTCTTTGAAAATGTGACCACATTTAACAGAATATTTTCTGTTGTTGTTTTGTTTTTTATACTCACAAAAGTAATCAGTTTGTATGCACGTATGCAGTGTTGTATAAAGTACCACAAATTGATACTTGAGTAAAAGTACAAGTATCTTATAAAAAATTACTTTGGTAAAAGGTAAAGTCTCCTTTATGAATATTACTTGAGTAAAAGTCTTAAAGTATCTGATACTTTTTGCACTTAAGTGTTAAAAGTAAAGGTATTGAATTAAAATGAGCAGTTAGATTTTAAATAAGGACATTTATTAGGAGGTGACCTCCCAAAAATTGCAGAAATGACTGTTGTATTAAAATAATTAATTTATGTTAAATTTAGGATGCACTAGTCCAGCTGTTTCAGTTTATATACATATATCAAGGCTGCACAAAGCTTTTCCCCAAAATGAAAATCTATCTGAGGGCTGCGGCTAAATGTAATAGTATAATTCATGAAATACAAATACTTMTTAAGTACAGTCCTTTTATTTTAATGATTGTGTCCTGCTGGAGTGTGACATGATTTGTTTGTGTACAAACTAATACRCTATCAGAGTTTTATATATTTATACTTCTCATTCAACCACAATTAAATTCACTCTTTCTAGGAGGCACAATTTAGATGGATAGTTTTTATTTTTTACAATAACAAGCTGGAATGAAACGACTTTCTACTTCTTGTCTTTTTTTAAAAATGTAAGGAGAAGAAAGTACAGATAATTGTTTGAAAATTTAAGAAGTTGAAGTAAAAAGTAGACTGAAAAATAATTACTCAGATACCCAAAAATTCTACTTAAGTACAGTAAAGAAATATTTGTACTTAGTTACTTTACAACTCTGCACATATGTGATCAATGCTACTGATACAAAAAGTAAAACGTTAGCTCATGCTAGCCTGTTGTTTACTTAAATAATCCAGTTTATTTCTATGATCTTTCTCTCCATCAAAATTACCTTTAAAGAATTTGAAAACTACATAATAAGAAGAAGAATTAGAAAAAAATGTCTGAATAGTTCAGTTGTACTAAATTCGGTATCAACTACAGTGTTTTTCGGTATTTGGGGTGTAGTGGTAAAACAGCCGACTTGGGACTCAAAAGTCACAGGTTCGTCTCCCCGCCTTGTGTCCTTGAGCAAGACCCCCCCCCACACACACACACACACACACACACAACTCCCTGGGCACTCACATAGCTGCCCACTGGTATATTTGGGTGTTTCTCACGTGTGCTGGGTCGAATGCAGAGCACAAATTTCATCCTTGCACGGAAAAATTATAAAATTTATATAAAATTATAAATTATAAAAAATTTATAAAATTATAAAACTTAATTTGAATAAATTTTAAATCATAAAAACAATAATAAGAAATAAAATTCACGATATATTTTTTTAGTTTTATAGTGTCACCTCCACTGGCTGTAAAGGTTCCCAAAAAGGCCTCGAAAAGGCCCACAGACCACCAGTTGATAATGACAGTTGTTGCTTGTTTTGTGGTTCTGGAAACATTTTATTAGCAGAAACGTCTCTTTTGATGGGAAAGGTTGCAGACCCCTGCTGTAGAGTAACGAGTCTGACGCTGAGCCACAGCCAAGTCTAAAATCCAGCCAGTTGACTTCATCCATCCTCTGCCGGCTGGGTGGCTTCCTTCAGTGATTCTTTCAGCTGACTTTGTTCTGCAGCTCATTCTGATGACGTCACGCCTCACAGAGGTCGTGTCGTAACCAGGATGACTAATCCCAGATGAGTCGGAGTAATCCAGGTGATGCATGAAGACACTTCCTGTAGAAGCTTTTTTTTATTTCTGTACTCCTAACTTTACCTCACCTCCAATAAAAGACGATGAAATCTGAAAGTAAAGCGTCTCGCATTATATCAGACACCCCACCACCACCACCACCACCACCACTACCACCACAGGAAGTTGGTGCTTTTTCATACGTGTGTGACTGTGGCCATTATTCCTCCCCATGAGCTCCCATGTAAGGCGTGACATCATCTGTAGGCGAGGGGTGACCCTCCATGTTTGGTTTCCCTAATGGCACATTAGAAGCAGATCAGGCAGCTAATGTGCCAGCATTAGGGAGGAATAAGTCATGTGTGTGTCATGTCTGTGATATCCTGGCACACACACACACACAGCTACTCAACTCAGCATTTCCTGGTCCTAATGCGTACAACATGTGTGTGTGGATAATGTATGGTTATCATATTAGCACGGCACATAACTCAGACAGTAAAAGCACCTCGACAGCTCCCGTCATTCTCCCTCCCTTGCAGCAGATCTGTCTTTTCTATCACTTTTTGCTTCCTGTTTCTCCGTCTGACTCTCAGTCGACCCGTTTGTCTGAGTATTCACCTGAAACAAACCAGAATAGATCACAGTAAAGGAGGAAAAAGTCGTGGAGGAAAGTTACGCAAACTTTATTTAAGACAATAAATAAATAAATAAATAAATACATTTGTCTCGTTCGTTCAGTCGTGTCTGGAGAAAACGACGTTCTTGACAAGAATTGACAGACGACCACACGTCAGTTAAACATTCTATAAATACTTGACAGATAAAATGTAGAGCAATCACATGAATCAAGCAGAAATAAAAGGTTTTAAATACCGCTTTGCTGCAGCAGTTACTGTAAACAGAAAACAAGCTTAACCTCTCAGAGTTGTCTCATTCTTGTCATTTGTCAAGTGTGCAACGAAGTCAGACTTTCTGACTAAGTTTGGCCAAAACATTCAGTTTTTTGCATTTATTCTCTGAGATGACAAAACATATTTGATCATTTCAAACTTAAATAAAATGCAAAACTTAGTTTATAAGCTCTAACCCTGAACACTGACATAAGGCAGGATATTAGAAACTGATTACAGGCATGAAAAACACCTGCTTTACGAGGCTGTTGCTCCCTGCCGCTGAGATAAAAACAGTAAAGTCCCGGGTTACTAATTAGGAAAATGCAACCCGCAATTTTCCTGACAGACAAACAATAACAAGTGCAGCATAATGAAACTGTAACTTCAGCAGATGAGCGTAATTTATTCTAACTTTCTTCTTTGAATTTTATTTAAATTTAAATTTGGAGCATTCATTTTTAAAAAAGGCATGAATAGAAGACAATGTTATTTTTCTTTTGGATTAAGTTGGAAAAACATTCCTTTTTTACACATTTATTCAGCGATGAAATACGTCATATTTCTTAAAATGACAAAACCCTATAAAATGTGAAAATAAGAGTCTGGGTGCAGTGATTCCAGCAGCCAGTTATGATGTATTTGCACGATTCTGCAGACCTGATAATAATGATGATGTTACCAGAGGATCATCTTTCCTTCCCGTTTATCTGCTACTGGCCTTACTGGAACCACTTCAACACTCAGGATCAGGTTTCTGTGTGTGTGCGCGTGTGCATCTGTGTGTGTTTGTAAGTGGCTCTGCTCACCAGTCTAATAATGAAAGGTTAACTGAGAGGCAGCGTGTACATAATAATGTGTAAAAGATTGAATTTAGCTCCTTTGACCGCCACACTAAAATTGCTGACTGGATATGTGACCTTTTATATCCTCACACACACACTGATGGAGAGGCTAAACGCTACACACTTTCACACCACAAACTCGCAGGAGAGCCCACATGCAGCGAACCATAAGTGAGTGTGTCGCAGCGTGCAGGTTAACACCGTGAAGCTCAGAGCCATTTTCTTCTCTGTCACCTCACGCTGTGAAAACGACAACACGGTAACTGTTAAACAAGACACCTTAGACCTCGGGGCTGGGCGCCCAGAGAGGAGGAGAGGAAAGCAGGGACAATAAAAAAGGCTCACAGCGTGGAGGAAACTGAGCCACAGCTTATAGTAGAGAGGCTGAGGAAGGCAAATCTCAGTGAAAGAGAGGAGGGATGCAATAATTGATTGGGGGAAAGTGATCCGAGAAGCAGAGAAACAGGGAAAAAATGGATTGCATTAAATAACTGAAGTAGCAGAAGAGCCTGCAGATAACTTTAAATTGACTTTAGATCATACTCTAAATCCTTGTCACTTTAAGATGTCATTAAGACATAAAAGCACTCAAGCTGACAGCAGATAATCTTTCTTTAGGAGTGAAGAGCAATTTGTTTATCAAGAAGCAACAAGGGAAAATATAGATGGGGTGTTAGTGATGTGCCCTAGTTTTGAATAAATACCTTTTATAAGCTGTTTTTTTCCTTTTTGTTGTTTTATGTGTACAGATTTTATTTGCTTTTAGACAATAAAAAGACAAAAAATAATAATTTGAATATTAACATCTTTACTTCATTATGTTCTCAGGAAGTTATCCTAAAGAGAGCAGCAGACTTGGTGGAAGCTCTCTACGGATTGCCTCATAATAACCAGGTACACACACACACACACACACACACACACATACACACACGAGTCACACACGTTTGCACTCGGTTCTCTAAATGGAAAGAAGCAGAAGAGTAAAAGCAGTTTTATTGTTGCACTAGTGGCAATTACTCCTCTCCTCTTCCTGCAGGAGATCATCCTGAAACGAGCAGCGGATATTGCAGAGGCTCTTTACAGCGTTCCTCGAGGACACACCCAGCTCTCACAGACTCACACAGGCATGATGGGCGTAAACTCCTTCACCGGGCAGCTGTCCGTCAACGTCTCAGAACCCGCACAAGCCAATCAGGGTACGCCTCGTGTCTCAGGTTGTCCGTCTTCGCATCGCAACAGTTTTCCTTGTCCGGTTCTTGATTTCTTACATTATTTGCAGGGTTTGTGCGCAGCAGCAGTAGCGTGTCCCCTCACGGTTACGTACCCAGCTCCACACCTCAGCAGACCAGTTACACGTCCGTCAGCAGCACCATGAATGGCTACACCAACAACACCGGCATGACCAACCTCGGAGGCTCGCCCACTTTCCTCAACGGCTCTGCGGCCAACTCGCCTTACGCTAGTGAGTGCCAACACTACGAGCAGGGGGTCTCTGTAGTGTAAGTGGGAGGTTCTTGGTGTGTGGGAGGAGTTTGTCAAAGACGGGATTGATCAGATTGACTGTTTCGGGTGTGGTTTGAAGAAGTCATGATGATTCGGTTGGATGAATGCTGACAGTATGCAGTGGTGGGCAGCGCTAATCCAAAAATTAGTTCYGCAATTTCTAAAGAGCTTATGACAACATTTAGGTCCGCAACTTCCAAAGCGCTTATGCCAGAGTAATACTAGCGAAACTTAATTTTAAAGCGCAAGTTCAATATGACACTTACTAGCTGGCAACTATTCATGTACAATATATGCACAACACTGCCAACTAGYGATGTAAGAACTCTTTTACAACTTAATTTACAAACACCGATTGCTGGGGATGTGATTTCCTGAAACAGTCCTTTAGCTCCTGGTGTAAAAATTAAAAAGTTGTTGAGGATTGCTAGTTCGGCTGCTTCTTTGTCTTTTTCTTTTTTTATTTGTTTATTTTTTTGTTGTTGTAGATTTTTCATTAAAGAAGCTTCAATAAAGTAATTTTAATACTGTTTATTGGAAAACTGAAGCGATGCATTCTGGGTACATGACGGATTTGATTTGTGACGGGAAAAGAAAGCACGGAGTACAGGAAACTATCTTCCCTTCAAAATAAGAGCTTGGATTTTAAAGTKTTCCATGTAGTTGCTSCAGTTGACCACTAGATGTCCRTCTTCATCAGCATAACATCTTTAAATCATTTCTGCGTCTCTAACCTTGTTGCTTCGACCAATTACGACAAGTATTGAGCTCCAGCGTTTAAACTTTATTTTTTAAAGGAGCTCTGATTGTTAAGTAAAATAAATCAATACATACAAAATTTTAGTATGGATTACAAATGTTAACTCTTTTTGCTACTGCCTTCCTGCTACGTAAGCAGACACAAAGCATTGTGGGAAATCAGAACCGTGACCCAAAGCAACAGTCAGCAGGATGTATACCTTTCCAAGAAGTGTGTTTATCTGGGAGGGGTGTTGTTGGATAGATCACGTGTGTTGTGAATCATTGACAGTCATACCTTCTGCTGTTCAAGATAATGATGACTGGTAGATAATTAGTTATTAGCTGTACTGCATTTAAATTTTAGAAAGAGCAAATCCGCTTATGAATAATAAAAATTAGTAAGACCGCTAAAGGGCAAATGAAACATTTAGGTCTGCAATTAGCGGATTTGCGCTTTAGCGGGCTGGTGCCCACCACTGGCCAACAGTAACTAAAAGAGAATGAAGAAGGTGAGGGCAAGGAGATGATGAGGATGAGGASGAGCACTTTTATGATTTGTTGCCGGTAAAGATAGTTTTCTCATTTCTTCCCCTTTCTTTGTCCTCCTTACTCCTCCCAGTTGTTCCATCCAGTCCCACTATGGCCTCCTCCACCTCTCTACCATCCAACTGCTCTTCCTCCTCTGGAGTCTTCTCCTTCTCCCCGGCCAACATGGTGTCAGCGGCCGTCAAGCAGAAGTCTGCCTTCGCTCCGGTGGTCAGACCCTCGTCGTCCCCTCCACCTTCCTGCACCAGTGCCAACGGAAACGGCCTTCAAGGTATTTTACTGAGTCAGTAAATAAGAGGGTGGTGTACAAAAATAATCCTAGACAAGAGGAAGTTCTATCTCATTTGTTTCCCCCTTAATAATTATTAAAATCTGTTTAATAAAAATAGGACAGAAAATGAAGGAAAAAAGCAGACAAATCCAAATGTGCTTAGTTAGACAAATGAATACAAATATTTTACATCAATACACATGTTCCAAGGATCAGTGCCTTTGAAAAATGCTTTTATAAAACTCTGGATTCAAATGATTGTTTTCTTTTCTGTAATTCTTATTTTTTTAAGCTGAAATCCATCAATTATCGCCTCCCGTGGGACACGCACAGCTCATGTGTTTCAGTGTCATCGCCCACCTTCGGCTTGAGATTTATCCTCGAATTAAAGTTTTAATCTGGCGCACACATTTGTTTCCCAGGCTTTCTTCAATCTGTCAGCTTAGATTGGTTTCTGACATGTACAGATTGGATCCAGATTGTTTAAAGAAAGCCCCCAAACAGCCTTAAAAGTTCCTGTGATATCTCTTAGAATGCAACACACGTGCAAAACCAGAGCAACGAGACTCGCTCAGAGAACAAGATWCAGTCCATGGACAGATGTCTTTTTGTTTCTCTTACTTTCTTCTAAAAACCAAATTTGGGCATAAGTGGAAGAATTAAATGTAAACGTCATCAACGGTACAACGCCAAATCCAATGAAGTTGGGACATTGTATAAAACATAAAAACAGAATACGATGAATTGCAAATCTTTTTCAATCTATGCTCAATTGAATACATGACAAAGGCTAAATATTTAATGTTTAAACAGATAAACTTTATTGATTTTTAGGAAATATTTGCTCATATGCCTGCAACTTATTCTAAAAGAGCCGGGACAGGAGCATGTTTACCACTGTGTTATGTCACCTTTCCTTTCAGCAACACACAATCAGTGTTTGGGAATTGAGGACGATAACTGTTGAAGCATTGGAGGTGAAATTCTTTCCCATTCAACAACTTCAGTTTTTTTTGTTTTGTTTTTTTGTTTTTTTTTTGTGCTTCATAATGCGCCACGTTTTCAGTGGGAGACAGATCTGGACTGCAGGCAGGCCAGTCTAGTACCCACACTCTTATCACAAAACCATGTGCCTTCAGTGGTCTCTTAACAGATGTACAAGTTATCCATGGGCACCAACACCCACCCATACCAGCAGAGAGGCTGGCTTTTGAACTTTATGCTGAAAACAATCCAGACAGTCCTTTTCCTCTTTTGTCCGGAGGACACAACGTCCATGATTTCCAAAAACAATTTGAAATGAATGAAATTGTCTGACAAAGCAGCAGCTCTCATTTACAGCCGTCTTGTTCAGCTCGGTACTTTTCTCCTCTCAGTAGGGTTGTTTACAGCGTTCACGATTTCCGGTTAGCTTCTTAGCTTAGCCTACTTCACAGCGACATACACACTTCAACAGAGGCCACGCCTCCTGCAAGAATCGCTTCTCAATAGCTGTGAGTCCAGACCMTTGTGCGAAGCAAAGTGAAGGACAAGGCTCTGGTTTTTACCAGGCTAGTTCACCTGTGGAATGCTCCAAACAGGTGTTTTTAATGCATTCCTCTTGTCCCAGCTTTTTTTAGAATGTTGCAGACATCAAATTCAAAATAAGTTAATATTTAGAGGAAAAAAATATCCATTTGAACACTAAATATCTTGTATTCAATTCAAAATTGGTTGCAAATCATTTTCTGTTTCTGTTTGTTTTATATGATCTCCTGACTTTATTGGAACTGGGGTTGTCTTTTATTTTTAGTGAGATGCTCTAATWGTGTTTCTTCCATTGTTAAATTGATGTTTTAATTTTATATTTCTCCATTTTCTAACCTTTCATCTAGTTATTTCTCTAACCTGTTATCCTTTTCTTGCCATTCTTTCATTTTTACCTTTCTCTACCAGATCAAACATTTGTGGACTCTAGCAAGTACTCAACAGCCAGCTCTCTACAAGGCCTGGCCTTCACCTGAAGTATGTTCCTCAGCTGCTGCTTCCTTCATCTCTGTCATCTTCAAGTTTGATCATCTCATTCACTCATTTATTGTTTTTACATTTCACTTCTTTTACTCCTGTTTCTAAATATTTGTTCTCACACATTCCTTTCTTATTTGCCTTTTTTTATTCCTCCTACTGTCTCGTCATCACCTCTGCACCTCTCGTCTCATGTAGCAGATCTAGCCATTTGGTTGCCTCCCTCGCCTCCTCCTGGCTGAGAAGACAGGCAGGAAGTCAGATATTTACAAAGACAGAAACAGACATTTGGCACGAAGGATACTTTTTTTTTCTCAACATCTCTGACTTTGTTTAGCTGTGCGTGTGGAACGAGCATGTGTGGGGGTGTGGGAACTCAAAGCGTAGCCTCAAAGCACAACTGAAATAAATACGCCCCACTAACTGCGGCACACACACGTCTCTGTGTCTCACACACAGTGGGTGATCACACACTGGGAAGCGATCAACAGTGACAGCTGTTGGAGTGTCTCAACAGGTTTTACTGTCAGTCTACCTGCACCTCTGTGTTTAATTATAAGAGACTGAYGCTAAACAGGAGCAGAGACTAAACTACAGTAATAGCTCAAATAAGACATTTTATACTTTTGTCATCATGCAGGTAATAACGTTGATTTTCTCTTGTGTCACTAATATTATGAAAATGTTCTTTGTTTAGTATTTTGTATCCCATCACAGATGTTTGATTGAGTTAGACTCTTAATGTGTGGCAAACATTGATATTTATAGGGTTAGCATTAGCAGCRACCACAGAAGTTTTTTTTTAATCATCCTCCATTTTTTAGATATTGGGCCTCTTGCAAGAACCGTTCATACGCACAGATTTGTTCTTAAGTTGTGCGTACGAGTGATTTAGGAGAATTTGTGGCATTCACCAATTTTCTCGTATTCTAAGAT